CTGCTGAACACAGTCGTGTGTGTCTTCTTTTAACAGCATTTTTGAGTATGTTAACTAATTCACAGGCTCCCTCTGCTGGGCTTCCAGCATAGGAAACTAATAGCAAAGCTTCTGTTAGGTTATTTGTAGACTGATCCATTTTCTTCAGCTTATTTTTGACACTTTCTACAGCATCAGAAAAAGTGTATGATCAAATTCATATAAATGGCTTTTTAGAAGTGTGATGGAGAAAGGTTTGATGTGTTATATGCATATTAAAAAAAATTATATGCATAGAGGAAGGCTTTTTCCACAATAATGTAACTGTAGCTGTTACCTTCTAAAAGTAATGATGCATCTATAAAAAGATAAAGATACTTGGCATTCAGTAATGCTTTCTGTTACTTACATACAGGAAAGAGCTCTAAGAAAGTAAATGCAGATCTTTCAAAAGTATTAAAAGCTTACAGTTGTCAAATATACTCAACACTGTATGCAGTTTTATGTAGCAGTGATTTTCAAAAGGCAACTCATGAGCCAAGGGGCTTGTAGCAAGCATTCAGAGGAATGATGAAGTGCTGAAAATGTTACTGTAATCAGAAGCAAAGAAGAGCTAGTCCTGCCTCTTTCTGCCTAATCCTCAAGGTCAAGGTTTCTGTCTACAGTTTTTTGAAACATGTATCTAGAGCCTAGCATTGTCATAACCAATATATAATGAAATCTTAGTAGATTAAAAGGAGTTGTAAAATGATTTACTTCAAACTAAACAATCTCAGACTGAGAAAGACTGCTAACAACAAAAAAGGACAGTGCTCTGTGATTGCTGTAGACGTAGCACTTCCTTGCTGACTTTTAACAGGGATTTACTGAATAAAGTACCTGCCTTAAATAATTCACAAATTTGTGGAGTGCTTTAATGGAAGAAGGCATATTGTCTGCAGTGGCACAAGAGAAAAATGGAGAGACCTTAGAAACAATCCCAGTGGCTTTTTCAATTATAGGTAGGGCTCCTAGGCACAGACAGCAGTACAAATACTAAGTATTACAGTGCTGCTTAAGTGTTGTGCTTAAAGTAAAAGCTTTGTGGGAATGCAGCCGTCACCACTGTGAGTGGAACAGATTTAACAGCACACAGCATCACTGGGCAATGATTTAAAACTGAAAATAAAGAACTCCACTGACCAACTGATAATGGAAATTGCAGGGGAAAAGTGGAATGCATGTATTCCAAACTTCAGTCTAGTGAGGAGACTAAAATGAACACTTCTAATATGATGGGACAGGTTGTGGCATCTTTAAAAATACAAAAAGGGTTAGCTGAAATATTAAACCACCAGCAATATATCTCTTAGTGTCAGCAGTCTTCTGGCTAAGTGACATGATAAAGAATACTTTCACCTACAGTGTAGCTAGCTAGCGCATATTAAATGACATTCAAGAAGTTTCTCAAAAAATGCAGCTATCTCAAGCATGAAATTTTTTTCTGAGTAGCATATTCTCATATTGGCTTTATTCTTCATCAAAGCATCTGACAGCTTTCACCAGAGGATGTGATATCAGTATGCAATTTATCCTTTCAAAGCCTTTGGGATGATCAGTCTATTTCTTTGCCATCCCTAATTAAACATACTGCTTCAGTAATTCCCAGGGGCAGGGAGGCATTGCGACTACTCTGAAATGAGAATGAACTTTGTAGAACCACGGCTACACCATCTCTGTTTATGATTAATGTATTCTATGATTGTTGTTTTGGTCATAAGTTTTTAGTTGTTTTATTACAGCTGTTTTATTACAAGCCACAGATTTTATTTCTTGGCAAGATGAAAGAAATCTGAGGAGGTTTTAATACAGATTTGGTTGAAATAAAATGTAGCAAGCTGATGGCGATCTTAAATGGGATCTCTGATCATTCAACCTTCAGAAGGCCACTAATAATGATGGTAAGTGAGGGTCTCTGTTCCAGCCAACAGTTTCCTAGAATAAGGATCGAATACAAATCCTTCATATTTGAGTGTTTTGGAAGATAGGCAGCAGCCCTGCAACGACTGTGGATTGAGGCACAGTCCAAGAGATATTTGGAGTCAGCACAAAAATTTTCTATTTAGCTATTAGTTAGGACACATCTCCTACCTGCCTTAAGTAGGTAGTCTTAAATAGGTAGGTCAGTCCAAGTGGCCAGAGGGAAGGTTGCTTTCAAGATACACAGGTTGTTTTCTTTTTCATTTCCTTTGTGGAAGGGGGTCAGGATGGGTTGATTTCTATCATCCATTCTAATCATGATTTTAAATAATCATTTTTCATCTAGCTGTACATGTGGGCTTTTTTTGTGTTCTGAAAAAGAGATGATATTCATTAGCATAGTTCATTATGCCAGCCAAAAGGGTACGCTATCTAAACACTTAAGTAATCATAGTGCTTAAGTGTTTGACTTTTTACACTTTATATTAAAAAGTGGTGAACAGTGCATTTCTTGCTAGCTGATACTTCCTTATGCAGCATTATGCAAGGCTGGATTTGGGTAGAAGTTTAAATCAATTTAAAATACACAATCAGCATTTTAAAATAGTCATTAATTCAATTTAAAAATTAAATGCACTGAACATAAAAATAAGCTTAGCAAAAACATGGTTTGTATTGAAAACCAGTTGATTTATTAAGTAAAGAAACCATTACATACAGAAAATGAACTGATTATGATTTTTCTAATCAGTGTGCCTTTACCTTCCAGAATCACAACTAGGAGATGTTCTCCTTCACATTTATTTTTAAAGGGTTACCTTACTAATCGTTTTACAAAGTATAGGATTTGGAAGACTGGGTCCCAAACTGAGACAGTAAAAAGAGCTCTGGAGAGAATGCGGTGTGTCTCACCGTGTCTCTAATCTCCTTGTTTGCTTAGGATTTAAACCGTTTCTTTAAATTCAGTGAAGCTAAAACAATTCATTTAAAAATGACTGGAAATGAGTGAAGTCTCCAGATGTTAACAGCTTATTTACTTCGGCTGCAGTAACATTATAGAACACTAGTCAAGATCAGAAGTAGGTTGCTCTCCGGGTTGCACAAATATCATAGTCATTTGGAAAAGCTGTAATAAAACGCCTTGTTATCAGGGAACAAGGTAAGATAGCTGTTTGTTTTCAGTCAGGTTCTAAGTGATGTTAATTATCTGTAGCATCTTTTACATGTCAAATGAGAGAATATAGTTGATAACAGATGTTGCCTCCATACTTAATGCTAGCAGTACTTTTTAAACTTGAAGAAGTAATTGTAAATCCCATGATAATACAAGTTATAGCAAAACCAAATGTGTTCAGAAACATTTTAAAGACATTATCTTGATATTTCAGTTAGTTTTAGGATTACTGTTTATCTTGTCAAAGCTATTTCTACAGCCTTTTTCTTTTTTCTGCTTCATTTTGCCTTTTTTTTTCTTAGTACAACTGCCATACAGGCTTTCCCCTAAAGTCAAAACACTACTTCAAAAAATTATTTTAAATTATAAATTAATTAATTAACTAATTTATAAATTAATTTTAAATTATTTTAGTCACTTAGGTTTTGGTCAGTAATGTACAGATGTGGCTAATACAGAGGAAATTGCTGATGATTGCAGTGAATTGCATATCATTAGAGCTATAGTTAAAACCTGTAAAAGTGATTCGTCACTGAATGCTTTAGGTCAGTAACTTGGAAAAATTCATGTCCAGTGAAATATATTATTTTACAATCTTACTTGCTTTTGACACCACTAAGAGTAAGGCATTAGTCATTTCTTAGGATTGCATTAAAGGCAGTGTTGACCTGTTCATGATGATAAAGTTTCATAAACATAGCTAGTGTCTCTGCATAGAGACCTGTCTTGCACTTCCTTTTTTTTTAGCATTTTCTTGAAGGAAGAAGACCTGATTCCTTTACTAAGATGTTTCTGAACCCACATATGTAGTATTGATTTTCAATAAAATTTAGTAACCTCTTCCTTGCTTCCTCTTTTTTATATTGTCTGAGAAAAATCTGTCTAGCTCAGTTACGTCCCAGTAAAGCCTGTAACATTTACTTCTTCTATACGTCTGTTTTACTTTCTTCTAATGTCTCTTCCTCCCATCTGGAGGCTGTTGTTCCACAGCGTGCCTGGTGCTTGTTGTCAGCTTCCATCAGACTGATGGAACAGGTTGCCCAGAGAGGTGGTAGATGCCCCATCCCTGGCAACATTCAAGGTCAGGCTGGACGGGGCTCTGAGCAACCTGATCTAGTTGAAGATGTCCCTGCTCATTGCAGGGGGTTGGACTAGATGACATTTTAAGGTCTCTTCCAACCCAAACTATTCTATGATTCTGTGATATTTGGGAATGAAAGGCAGGAGCTCTTAGCCTTTTTTCACCTCATCGGTGCAGCTAAAGATTTGACAATCACTTTCCTGAGACAGGATGAAACTGTTTTTGAAAAACATTATGTAAAATTAACGTTTTGTGTAAGGAACTCTTAATAAGGATGAACATTAGGGCATGCTCATAAGATTAAAGGCAGTACTTTGTCTTGTGCACCAGCAAAAAGCTGATTTCTGAAAAATGTCTAAAAAAGAAAATTATTGTAATAGACTTGATGTTTGTTTTGATGTTTCTGTTTAGGTGCTGACCCCAGCACAAATAAAATCAATTTGCCTGGCCATACTAGAATCAGGAAAGCAGTATGCGGTGAAGAAGAGGAAACCGTTCCCACTCATGTATTCATACTATGGAACAGAGTATCTTGGTGAGTAACACACCACCTACTTTGAGAGTGATGCTGTGTGTAGATGCTGAGCCAGTAGACGCTTCAGAAATAAAATACTGAAAACGTGCAGTGTGGGATTTCTCCTGAATGAGTTGGGACCATGCAACCTGAAAAAACTGCTAAGTGGGACTGGGGAGCTGGAGGGAAGGACTGATGCTGCCTAGTGCTGGGGAACGCAAGAGGTGCTTGTGCTGCGTCAGGGGAGCAGCAGGAAGCAGCTGCATTCCCTCTTCTCCATTCTGCCCTGGTAAATCTGCCCTTGCCCAGCGGAGGCAGCGAGAGGTCTGGTACCCATGCTTGTGTGGATACCAGAGCGAACTGTCAGGGGATCTTATTTGTTAGCCGCTGTTGCCACGCAGGGACTCGCAAAGCATTTTTTGGCCATAGCAGTGCAACTCAAGTGTACGGTCAGCTCCTGCCCGTCACAGGCAGCTTAGCTGGAGCTCATCTGAAGCAGTGGTGAAAGGTCGTCGAGCAGGTCCTTAGTGGAGTTCTCAAGGCACAGTATCACACTGCAGAAAGTGTGAGTTTGGTTTGCATATGTTAGTGAGTTCTCTGGCAGGGGAGCGGAGCGGGAGGTCACTGAGTGGTACTGTTCCACAGACCCTGGCAGGTACAGATAATTCTTGCACTGAAATTCAGGTTTTATCTGACTGACACTGTCAGTCAGTAACTGGGAATATCCATTTATGGTCCAGTTTCAGTTTGGGTTCAACGAAGACTTCACAATAATGGCCCAGATGCAGTAGTGTGTCAAGAATAATAATGTCTTGAAACAGTATTCAATTTAGGTTCAATTTAACTTCACACTGAGTTTCAGTCATATCAGAGTGAGAGCAGAAAAAATTCATATGTATTTTTGCATAGCTAAGGGAACTGGAAATGACAGAAGGAGTAACAAATCATAGTGTCATGCACCTAGAAAGCTGCTATTCCAAGCACTATCCATAAAGAAGATGAAAGAGCACTTGACAAGGAAATCGGTCCCAAGGGAAAGTTGTCATGAGATGGAAATAGGACCTAAACCTACCCTCTGATTTGACTGTTTCTGTTCTTCACAGGTGCAGCACATGGGCTTTCATCAATCCTTCAGATGCTGCTTTCCTATTATGAGTATCTGCAGCCAGCAGATCAGGAACTTGTGTGGCAGAGCGTTGATTTTCTTATGGACCAAGAACAGAACAGCAACTGGCCTCCTGAGCTGGGAGAGACAATCGAGCGGGAGAATGAGCTTGTACACTGGTGTCATGGAGCTCCAGGTTCTTTTTCCATTGATGCTATGATCAGATGCTGATCCCATTGTTTTTCCACGTTAGATGATTCCATGTAGAATAAAATCTCAGGTTAAATTTGACTGATTTTGATGTTTTATGAAATGCAAGCAAACTAGGCTTTTTTTTTCCAGTTAAGAGTGTTTTATTTATTGCTGAAGCAGCTGGAAGGATAGGCATATTTTCTGCCTTAAAAGCATGGGTGATCACAGCTGAAAGAATTCTGGTGATCCTGAACTGTATGTTTTCTGCTCTCGGTCCCTTTCATAACAAGACCTCAAAGAATGGTACAGCTGAGTCAAAAGACAGCATATGGCTGGACAGAGAAATAGAATGCAGAAGAACACAGATACAGACACATCTGTGAGTTTTGGGAAGTCCTTCAGAATAGCTTTTTCCCCGCCTCGTAAGAATCAGAGTTTAAGCTGCACTTATTACATGGATAATGCATAAATTTGACTAAAGTATCTTCATGTGAAGGGGAGTTTGTACTAGCAAGGGACATTTTTCTGAAAGTCACCCATATAAAACTGCTTTTTGGAGAAGAAGAGAATAAATCCTTAGTTTGGGTTCATGAGGTAAGGCTGATGTCTGTCAATTCAGAATCTAATCCTGTAGATTAGCAATTTTGGCAAGTAATGCTGCATATTGAAATTGCCTTTTTACCCTCAGGCATAATTTTATTGCTAACTAGTCATATTGGCTTGGTGGCATGAAGCTAGAATGTTACAGAGAAACTTACTTTTATTAAAGAATGTCCATGAGCATTGAGGCATTGCTTTTAAAGGTATTCTGTTGAAATTACAGAGAGTACATTATAATTAACATCCCTTAAATATGCTTTCTGATGATGCATTATGTTTTTGTTGGTATCATTAAGGAACAAGCTTCTTGCTCTCATACTATAATGAAGCAAAAATAGCTTTTGCTTACTAACCTTTTTTATTTTTAAGAGGCAAAAATTACTTCTACAGCATGGCTGGTCTAGTGATGAAACCTGCAGGGAAGATGCCCTCTTTGTTTCAGTATCTTGAGAGCTGCTTTTGACTTGGGTTTAACTCTCAGTGGAGACATGCAGTGAGACTCAACCAAAGTGACATGATCCCAAAACGCATAAAGAAGTTACTTTAGGAGACATTTAGAGACATGTAAATTCATTAATTGCTATTGTTCTTCCCCAGAAAATCCCATATCCCATCGCTGTTCTTGGGTAATAATGCACATGTAGTTTACAAGAACGCTTTTCAGATACTTCAGTGTACTTCAATACTGAAATACTTTAGTATTTCAATATTCAGACCACAAGTGAGCTATTCTAAAAATTTCTTTAGGCACTTGATTTGGTTATGTGTCATATGCATTCATTTGAGGTTACCATGAACTGAGTTGTGCAGTGCTCTGTTGAAGTTTATGATTAATTTATTTGAATCCCCTCTAAAAAGAAGCCAAGTGACTTTTTTAACAGAAGTTAGTATGCATAACTGTTCATAACTGGAATAAAGCAGCATGGCCCCCACTGAAAAAAAAAAAAGCAAGCTTCTTTTTCTCATTCAATACAAAATTGTATCTCTTGCCAGTGTAAGACATTATCTTACCCGTTCTTGTGTTTCTGTCAGTATAAATAGGTGAGGTGAATGGGAGTCTGAAACCAATAGAAGACAGTGCTAAGCGTTTACTGTTTTCAAGGCAAAAATGTGACTACTGTTCGAAATTGATGAAAGACTCGGAATGTTAGAGTAAACCCTGAAATTCAATAATGCGTTGAAAAGATTGGAAGTGGTGTTGTCACAGGGAGTGGGTAAGAACATCTTACCGTCTGCTTTTTGGCAGACCAGATACTCTCTCCTCCATATGTAGCATATGTATAGGTAACGTTGACATGTGTAGAGCATGAGACTGCAGTTTTTTAGTGTATTAATCTTTATTTTCTTATGTGTTCTACGAAACCCTTGGCCTACTTATTACAAAAGACAATCTCATTGCTATTTTCCTAGGCATTGCATATCTGTTTGCCAAAGCTTACCTGGTTTCCAAGAAGCCTCAGTATCTGGACACTTGTATCCGCTGTGGAGAGCTAACTTGGCAGAAAGGCCTGCTGAAGAAGGGACCTGGAATATGCCATGGAGTGGCTGGTAGTGCTTATGTGTTCCTGCTGCTGTATAGGCTCACTGGAAACTCAAAATACATTTACAGGGCACAAAGGTTAGCAGTCCTACCTTTCTGGATAATAGCGGAAAGTTTCAAGAACATTTATAGAGCTGCTCAGGTTCTGTGATCACCACCCTCTGATGCAACCTGAGGGTTTAAGCCCCGGGTGCAGCTCTGCCTGAGTTGTGGGGCAGGCGTACTCTGCGGGGAGCCTTGCGGTCCTGCTTCCAGGCTGTGGGAGAAGCGTCGGGTTGTCCTGGGCTCCTTCCCTCCCTCCCCGCCCACGAGCCCGCACTCCTTCGGAGGGAACCGGGCTGGCTGGGGGAGAACGGGGCGCATCCAGGTCTTACCCCAACATGAGGTCCGAACAGCCAAGTTCCGCACCCAAGTCTAGGAGCAGAGTAAAATGGAATGCTGTTTGTTATATTGATTTGTTCTGATTTTCAGAGCATTTAACGCTACCCCTTACTACTAAACATGGAAAATAAGTATGGGACCTGCTTTGCCGTTATTTTACAATTTTTTAATTTATCATTCCCAGCTTTAGCCAGTTTGACATTGTGCTATTCGGCTTAGCTAGTGGGATTAATTCCATTTTGTCCTGATGCAAGCAAGTATATCCCACTGAAAATTCTGTCACAGTGCTGCAATTATCTTTAATTTTATTTCTGTAATTTACTATACACATTTTAAAAGATAATATTCAATGTTTGTTACTGTTGTATCCTTATAGCATAGAATAATGAGGGGAAGTGGTATAGTAGTTAGGGTGACTTATTTTCAGCCATTTGCTTTGAAGTGAAAACATTTTATTTGTGTAGTTATTTTAGCACTACAGAATTTGTTGCATTGATACAAAACATTGCTTGCATCCTGCTGGAATAACAACCAAGATAAAATTTATTAAAAAGTATTTGTTTAATAATATGTCTCATAGATATCAGAAGTTTATAGCTCTCAAAGAAGCATAACACATGTACAGATCGCAAAGGTTTGGCTTTTCTAGATCTCATGGACCTCAGTTTATTGTGGAAATCGGAGAGAGTAAAATTCCACATAAGGTTAAAAATCAACATTCTACTTTTTTTAATCATTGAATGTTATTAAAATGATGCTTTCAAACAAGAAGTAAGTAGACATACAGGGACACCAAATAATAACAAACTCTCTCCTCTTTTTTCTCCTGTTTCTTAGGTTTGCAGAGTTCTTATTTACAGAAGAATTTAAGGCTGGTTCCCGGGCATTAGAAAGTATATATAGTCTGTATGAAGGCTTCTCGGGAACTGTGTGTTTCCTGACTGACTTGCTGCAACCCAACCAAGCTGAGTTTCCTCTCTTCAGTGTCTTTGTCTAGAGAGTAACATTCTCCAGGGCCGCATCCTGGTGGCAGTGGGAGAGGGCACCTGCGGTTTCACCTATTTGTCAAGAGAGGCTATTTACAATACAAGCCAGTGGTACCACTAACGCTAGCCTTAACATAGCTGGGAGTCAGGTGAAAAAGAAAATACACTGGGGCTTTGGGAGGGAAGTGTGTGGTTGGGGAAAAAAAAAAAAGGGGTCAATTAAAAAAAAAAATATGGGGGAAGTGATTGAATCTGATGTGGTAGATATTTAGCTGTAATGAGAATCTTATTATTCAAGTGAGAGAATGGGGCATTATCAAACTTTTAATTTGGTGGTTACACAGGAGAAAAAAAAAGGCAAGCTAGAATTACAGGGACATGCAAAGAAGAAACAGTGATGCATCCAGTAGGTTTTAAAGAGAGACCTAAAAAAACAAGTCTTCATGCAGCGATGCACTTACCGGGGAGGGTGTCATAGGCATGTCACTGCACTGCACAAAGGCAAAATCTGGGATTTTTTTACCTAAACCACATCTACTAATTCTAGTAACGTGTATTAGAAATAAAGAGAGAGATCTGTATCTTGGGGCTCTTTCATCTTCATATGCCTATAATGATAGTTATGTAGATAGCTATATATTCAGCCTGCAGTTTCACTGGTTCATTTCAGCTAGTGGGGTTTCCTGTGCATAAATGTGAAGTGAATTTGACCCTCCCTTTCAGAGCTCAGTCTGTGGCAAGGAGCTGGTCTCCTTACTGATTTACTGTAACCGTGTCGCTTCTTGTCAATACTTTCCCTGTCACAGAGAGGACGAGTGGAGCCATGGAGTAGACTTGGACTGAAAAGCTCTGTAGCAAAGATACAGCAGGCAGATGCTTTCTTCATGGTACAGCATTGCTAGATAAGTACTGTTCAGTGATACAAAAGCTTCCTTTAAAGATTAATTACTTATAGCAGCATTTCTGAACAATAGCATACAAATTTCAGAGAATGGAAAATCTATTTTCCTTGATGAATTATTCACTACAGGCCCTATAAACTGAATGCAAACCTTGGATGGCATACTGATCTTAAGAAAACCTCAAAATTGCTTCTTTTCCTGGTTAACAAAATAATGTATATGCCCAAATGATTTGTAGCTATAGAAATAAATGGATTGCTCAACACTAGTTGCACTAGCACTTAAGGTTGCAATTATATGCTGTTTTACATATATTATATATATATAATATATATATGGTACTTGAAAGTTAAAATGCTAACATAGATTTGTACTAAAAAAACTATAAAAATAATCTGTATTTAAAATATATTTAGTATTTATTTATTTTTATTTATATGCGAATAATGTAATGCAATTACCTTTAAAGACAGATTGGGAAGACCGGTATGTCAAAAATTGCAGTTAGGGTGAAAAAAACTGACCTACATACACTGCCAAACAATGCAGTCTCTCTTCCTGCATTCTCAGCTGGAGGAGATTACGATTTCTTTATTTTTAATGCCTAATGGATTAAAGTTGCCATTTCATTTCAGTGGGCCTTGATCAGGCTATAAGTTGGAGCCAGGTCTTGCAATCCTTCCGCATTTTAATGTAGTAATCCCATTCGTATTCTTGCCACTGTTATTTTAATGAGATGGCTTGCATTATTATGAGCTGCAGATTAGGATTTCTGCTATTTTGCCTTGCACTGTGAAGCTCTAATTAATTACTTAATCATAGAAGTAACCATATTTCATTGGTGAATAAAGCAATGCAGTTCTGTGTCTGTCAAGAATTTAGGGATATTTTGGTGAATGGAAATGTTAAAATTCAATATACAGTTGTCACGTGTTTATTTGTGGGATAAAAGGTCTTCTAAGAAAGCCATTAATGTCACTTACTTTGTTACTCTGAGCACTGAGATGCATACACATAGGAGGATGTATTTCACATGTGAAGCTGAATCAAAAAGTCAATGGAGACGTGCACGTGCTCTACCCAGCCATGATTAAAAGTTTGTGTTACATCAAAGTCCATTGTCAGCAGTGAAGATCGTAAGTCCATTAGAATTCTTTAGTTGCTTCATGTAATGTGGCTGTCTAATACATTTCATAACTGTAACCTTTTAAACACATATTTAAAGAAGGTAAAACTTGTCCTACCCACTTTTTCCCTGTAGTCAGTAGCTTTTCAGTCTCCGTTTTTATTGTAGGGGATGTCACTCAGCTAAAACATGTAACGTTTGTGCCACAGCATTTAGATAGCTACTGTAAATGGGTTCTATCTTACTGTAAGACAGAGAAATAGGTTTTGCCATGATCTGGACGCAAGCTGTTGCAATCCTGCATTTATTGCCAATCATTTTATTTGAGATGCAAGTATAAAACAAAAAGGTCTAGTGTTTTGATAACCACACAGTCAAAAAAACCCAAACAACTCCAGACTTAAGCCTTAACAGAATCTACGCATATCAGCATAGTAATCACAACCTTTCAATTTTGTCCCCAGTGCCTACTTTTTAATTATCACTGGGACACAATATTTAATTGTTTCCAGTTAGTTATTTCTCAGGAGACGCTTAAAGTAGAAAATCTTTGCCAAAACCTCAATAAATCTAGAGCACAATAAATCAATACAGTAACTTAGATCCTAACCAAGTCATGAATGCTGATATGTAACATACACCACATATATTAAAATTTACCATAATAGGTGTAAATAAAATTACTCCATTTTATTATGCTTAACTTCTAATGCTCATGTTCGCATTTATCTTTTAATATAATTAGTCATAAATGGCAGGAAGTATATGTTAAGAACTCTGTCAGTTTTCTGATGGCATTCTCTCAGTGTTTCTTTGTAGAATTAATTCCTTCTGATTTACATTCAGAGGACACTCTGCTCTGCTCTGTGTTGTGTTCAACAGCACTCGCAAAACAATCTTCTGTCTCTGCAACCCTTCTCCATATATGAAGCCATGTGCTTGGCTTCATTTGATACTAATCCTGTGAGAAAGGAGTTACCTGAGTAAGAGCCCATTCAACAATGAGGAAACTCATGCAACCACCCAGTTTTCAAAATCTAGGTCCCAAACAGTCTCTCTGCAAATTACGCTATTTCAGCACTGACTTCAGCAAGGGCAGCACGCAAACTTTGTTTACTGACAGTTAAGATCACTAACAGTAACATAAACATCCAGTCCCATGGGATACATCTTGTACAGTCTTGGAACATGCATACTCATCTGTTTCATCAGACAGTTGAACATCATGGCAGTTTGAGCTCCTTCTTAGCACTTCGTGGCTTTTCTTACCTGACCTAGCTGGGTTAAGGTGGCTACTAGACCTGCTATAGTCACAGCTTCTGAACACAGTGTAAATATATCTCAGGGCTCTTCTGAAAATTCCCATCATTAAATAAGCAGGTTTTTTTCATCTTTTTCCTCCTCTTGTGTGTCTTGCTTTTTTTCCTTTGTACTATATATGCTGTTACATACATGCTGTTGCAGTCTTCATTTGTTGCTTTTAAAACATTGACAAGAAAGCAACCCAAGCAGAACTGTCAGCATTTTTCAGTGTAATACAAAAATAAGGTCCTTTGTGTTCCCTCCCTACCACTTCAAGAAATCAATCATGCAACCTTTGCTAGACATTCTGAGCTGGATGCTGTCTCCTCCTGCTCCCGCATCAGGCCCTAATGGACTGAAAAGGTGTATTCCTGAACAGATTCTGCCATGGTGCTGTGACAAAAGACTGTGTTACCAGAAACTTGAGAAGCCTCTTTCAAAGTGTAAAACACAAGTTACTGCGTCACGTTTGCACATTAGTTTCTTGTCTGTGTTTAGTTTCTAAAGTATAGGCAATAGGAATTTAAGTGATACACTAGTATTTCTGATTATGCTGTTAAAGCAAAGAGGATGCATTGTGTGGGTATTGGTGCTTATTTGTGATGTACCTGTGTTTGTGTGGTGCTGTTTGTGAGTAAAGCTGTAGATTACAAATCAGTTTAAGGAGCTATATACTATTCATGACTTGCGGTAGGTCATCCATAGATTACTGTCATGGACTAATTTTGAGGGAAACTAGATCTATAACGTCCAGATTTAGTGATCTCAGAATTCATAGAGCCAGATGCAATAAGTTTCATCAACAGTACAGTTCTAACAAATCTATTTAATTTCTTCCTGCTACTCACAACTTCTCAACATGATAACATATTCTTTTTGTGCCACTGCTTTCAATGTCTGCTTTATTTGCATCCTTTTTTTCCTTCAGTTTCCCTGCCTTTCTTTCCCAGCCTATGAATAACTTCAGAATACTGAAGCAGCAGCCCAGGTCTTTTGTTCTTGAAAATAAGATCGATTAATTTTGCTTGAGAGGGGTGTTCCACCTACTTGCATTACTTTATTTTACACTCCCAAATGGTCTCTTCTCACTGCCGTTTCCCACCTGCTAAGGAAAAATCATTATACTGTGTCACAACTGTCACTGATGTTTTACATCATTAAATAAAACAAAGAGAGACTTTCTATGGAGCATGTTCACTTCTGTAGTATCTTAATTCTATTAAGACAATCAAAAACAATTGAAATGGCTAAACATCCCAAATTACACATTTAAATGATTCTGGGAAATAGGCACAAATGAATGCAAGTAAAGTGGTCACCCTTTTCAGCACTCTGTGAAATTAAGTAATGCAACTTTGATGCTGTCATAATACTTACATGGACATGTAAAGAGTATGATCAGAATACTAATTAGTTTTTAAAATACTGTGGAAAAAATAAATGTAGGTATCTGTCGTATTCAGAAACATACAGGTGAAATATGTGCAAATGGAAACTTCCATAAGCAATCAAATTTTTGTACTAAAATTGTTATCTGCATATACAGTTACAGCATCTGCAAACATATTGCATGTTTTATGCAAACAGTGACCTATTTTAGCATATACATGCATTTTAAGACTATATCCTTGCTACTTGTACCTGTAAGATCCATGGGCAGAGCGTATCTCTGAGATCTGCC